GATGCGGGGCTCGATCCCAGGACCCCGGGATCATGACCTGAGCTGAAGGCAGACGCTTAACGACTGAGCCACCCAGGCGCCCCTAGGAAGGACTTTTCGACAGGCGCTGGTGGCAGACAGTGTGGCGGACTTGCCCTGACTCTTGGCCCCCTCGCCGCCTTCCCCGCTCCACCCCAGAAGTGCTGAAGAAGTGGGAGGGTGGCTGGCGAATCTGAGGAAAGAAGGCACAAACCAAGGAACACTCGGGCTACAGAAGGTGTGGGGGCAAGGAGCCCGTCGCCACAGCTGGGGGACAGCTGGGGGTGTCGTGTCCTCTCCCGTGTGGTACTTCTAGATGGATCACGGCCTGCTTCGTCACCTCCCAGAAGGCAGAGAGCAGTGCCAGCCCAGTGCCACCAGCTGGGTGGGGTGACGTCAGGGCGCCTCGCGTCCGTGCTGGCCCGGTAGCTGCGTGTGACTTCTGTGCAGGCCGCTCTGCCAGCCACACGGAGCTTCCCCCTCTCTGTGCTCAGAAGGCACGCGGCTTGCAATCCAGGCAGCTCAGAACGGTCAGAATGCAGGCATGAGAACACGGTGGTCGGGACGCGGGTGTGGGATGCTCCCCGAGGGGCACGGTCACTTGCTGAGGGGGGGCAGGGGGAGAGTTGCGAGTCCAGTGGCGGCGCAGAGCATCTCCCACCCTCTCCGCTCCCCTCGCTGTGGGTGCACACCAGTAGCCTAGGGTGTAGATGCCCAGGGGACCGTGAGGTCGCAGGAATAAATAATGAGCGGTGAAATAAGGTGGTAGAATTCTGACACAAGGTTACCGTAAAATAAATATAAATGGATAGGGGCGCCTGGGTGGCTCAGTCGGTTAAGCGTCTGCCTTCGGCTCAGGGCATGATCCCAGGGTCCTGGGATCGAGTCCCACACTGGGCTCCCTGCTCAGCGGGGAGCCTGCTTCTCGCTCTCCCTCTGCTCCTCCCTCCTCTTGTGCTCTCTCTCTCTAATAAATAAATAAAATGTTCAAAAATTGCAAATGGAGAAACCCACTAATTCAACGATAAGAGATTTTCAGGTTAAAAAAAATATTTAGCAGTATATTATCTACAGGAGACATAAAGGAATAGAGAAATGTTTAATATTAATTCAGACAAAAAAGAATTTTAAAATGTCAAGATGGACAAACACAATATTA